TCCTCCTCCTCCCACCAGCACCACCACCGCTCTTCCGGCCCCCCCCTCCTCCTTTCCTCCTCCTCTCGTCTTAACTAGTTTCGTTGTTTGTCTGTGTGAGGTTAATATTCGTCCCCTGGATAGATGATCTAGCCAAATATCTGATATCGTTTTAAAGCTGAACCAAAAAGAGCAGTAGCCAGGAAAAGAAAACGGCTAAAGTGTACGGTGTCGTGGTATTACGTATCTCTTCACCCATTCTACATCGAGCGATAAGTGAAAGCAAAAGTCTCAGTGCTACGATTGGTTACATTGTGGTCTAACTCTTGTTACTTATAAGCTCGTTTTATACTGGGAATCTTACCGTCGGTCCGTTGCCTTCCTGTAAACAACCGCTCAATCAAGTTTTTTAAAATGTTGTTTGTAGCCTTTTGTAACCGTGCGTGGGTGGTTGAAAGGAGCCACTAGTAGGTTCTTTAAAAATACTGGGGGTCAATCTTTTTTTCTTTTTAAATCTCCGTTTGAAAATGAACACTATTATATTGACGTTCTTCTAAATGTGATAATTTATGAAGCCCTATTCATTTCAATTTCGTTTAAGTTTCTCTATGTTTGAGCGCTCAAGTAAAAAAAAAAAATCTCAACTGATTTCTTAACAGAATGCAGATATTATTTGATGTAAAAAAAAAGAAAGAAATTAATGAAGGTATTCTGTACTCATTTCACCCAAAAGCGTTTTTGTTTCCTGAAATGTCAAATATCCATTAACATTTACCATTACACTGTGTCGGGGCAAGCTGGGGTGAACAGTGGAAAGACGACAGTTGACACACTGGCATTTTCTTACATGATATTTACAATTGCGTATAGTGATTATCTCTAGTGGTTGCCTCGTGTCTGTCTGTCACACTTTAAATATGCATCAGACACTCAGATGAGTAGAAGAATAATGTGACAGTGTTTAGTCTGGCTAGCAACGGAGTTATTGTCTTGTCAGAACTGTTGGAATAATGAGTCATCGATGCAATCATTGTTTGAGTTTGAGTCTTGATTTTTGTTTTTCTTTCTTTTCAGTGTCACAGGTGGTGAATTGTTCGAAGATATTGTAGCTAGAGAGTTTTACAGTGAAGCGGACGCCAGGTAACTATTGTTTTACTTTTGTCATATTCATAATCATTATTCTTTTCTTTTTGTTCAGAACAGATATAAAATGACTACTATTTCGACACCTCATCCATTTTTTGGTCGTATCTTCTGAACCTGTTCCCCCTTGATGTTAGTTGTGATTGCAGGGTAAAAATAATCTACTGAAACTTGAAACTGTTCCTATTCTTCGTCTCTTTATCCGTTCACCGACCAATTAATCTGTCTAAACCGTATGTTTTTTTTTGCTTGTTTTCTCTGGGATGTATTTTTTAAAAACTGATCAAAGTGATTCTTTCTTTGAACGTGAAGCATTTGAATGACTATCTCGAGTCACGATGTCGTCAGTAATGGTCTGAGCTCAGAATAGATACGCAAATAACGTATATCAATAATGTATATCTTGCTCTGAAGTTTCAGAAGTTTCTGTCACTGGTTTTATGGGCTAAATGTACTCATGAAGGTTTTGCAAGCAAGCCTTTGTCAGAAAGGTCATTAAATCTTTTAAGGGAGGTTCACTCAATTCAGCCTAAGTGATCATTTTGTCAGAAATTGGAAACGGGTCTCTGTCTTGAGTTTTATTAAAATGATACAATAATGATTTGACATTTGATAGCATTTTAAGAAGTACGCTTTTCTTGATTGTTTGGGGTTTGCAGTGCTTAATGGGTATTACTAGGGGGAATTACTTGTTGATTGGTCAAATGGCTTTTTAGTCTAGATCGTGACCTTAGTAATAATAAAGTCTAGTTTTGAAGTGCTTTTTATCTTGATGAATAGGTGGGGAAGAGCCTCAGATGTTGGAAGGGTTGTTCTCCATTTGACTATAGTTTCTCTAATGTCATTGCTCTTGGCTTTCAGTCGTTGTATCCAACAGGTATTGGAAGGCATAAACAGTTGCCATCAGCATAACATCATTCACAGAGACATGAAGGTCGGTCCGTGCGGAAGGCTGAACACAATTTTCTTTTTAGACAACAAGACCATTATATTAACACGTTGCAACAAATGCTGGCTGTCACAGGGCATCTTGTGTCGCCTCTGACCACTCCCCCTCCCCCAGCCCCCTCCATTCCCCATTTCCCCACGCTGTAGCTGTTGCCAGTCTTGTATCCTCTGGAAGTCTCGTTCGTTGTCTTCACTGTGTCTGCATTGCCTATTGTATCATTATGTTGCTGTTTCATGTGGTTTAGACGTCATTCATTTGGACAGTCATACATGCTCCAGCAAGAAACGGAATGGCTTTAAGCTATTGTATGGACCAAAAACGTCCATAATTGCCTGCTCACGCTATACGTATGTTGACAAAATCTGCAATAACCTTGTCAAAAATTACACGTTGTGACAAGAAACTAAGAAATGTCAACCATACCTAATATGAAATGTTCATCTTTTTTACTTTTATTTTAGTTTCTCAGGCATGTTCCGTTTGCTTAGCGTTATGAAACATGTATAAGTCTGTCCAGCTGATATGTGTAGAATGTGACATGTGTGGGGCAAAGATAAATCGTTGTAATCAGTACAGGTGTAAGAACATTTTATAGAGACAATGTGAGTCTGAAAAACTATTATCTTTTTATTATAGGTGAACGTTTCCTTCCGTCGGCAATTTTAAAAAAAAGAAATGTGAAATTTAAGCTGGGCGATAAGCAACAGAACACTGGAAGACTTGAAAAGAGTACTCCCTCTTAATGTTTCAATTTGATAGTTCGTCCCAACTATCTCCCCTCCTCTTTACATTGAAGTGTGGGGTCTTGTCACAAGCTCTGTTTGCTGTGGTATTCCTAGTGCATGAAATGATTGCTGGTTCAATAGTAATAATCTGTTCATTACGAAGAGGTGAATCAATTTCACCAATGCCATTGGGTATAACCTACTCTCTTTAATCAGCCGAGTTAATTTGTTGTTAGTGCCCCCTCTAATGTTTCCATTGGTGCCATCTTAATGAACCACTGCATTTGAGGGCAACAATGATGACGACTAATATGTTATCAACGCCACGACCGCAGAAAGAGCACAACCCCCACCACTATCGAAAGTAATAATAATTTTGATGAGGAGGATGATTTTGATACCCAAATTAATAATATAATATAATAACAAAATAACACCAATTATACATTAACACTAACGACAATAACCGTACCGTTGATAGGAAAATGGTGATAATTGTGATTATAATAATAAAATCAAATAATACTGTTGAAAATGAAACTAGGTTTGATGGAATAGTACAACAATGTACAATAATGACAGGTAATTTCAATTTAATTTCATAAGGAAGCCTTTGCCCCCCACATGTCACAGTCTTTTCGTTTATTGTCATAGTTGTCAAAGCATATGGATTATATGAAGAGTTATGCAATGTGACCATAGTGCATGACTTTTGCAGGGCAACTAACCTGGCCATTTAGTGCAGTAGAAGCGTACACTGAACCACTAATATCATATATTCAACTCTTTCCTGGGACGCTGATAGAGTCAAAGGTCTGAGAAAGTTTATATTAACTATAGTAACGGTTGAAGATTCGTTGGGACAATATCTGCGTTGTGTGATTTGCCACCTCCTGTCAGTGAGGTAAAGATTAGAACTGTTCAAATATTTCTTATTAGATTCAGTATTCGTAGAAGTAGGTTGAATGACTGTTTGGTTAATTGTAGGTAGCGCAGAAAAAGATGGCCGTTCTTTGATGTTCGAGCTGTAAGAGTGAGGGTGTCGCTTCTCTGTTCTTTAGCCCAAGGTTGGTGTAAATATGGGTTGTGCTAGATCGTGTATAGAATGATGGATTGCAGTTACAGAAGCAGCGTCCGATCGTGGCCGAATCAACAGACTGAAAGCTGACGAAAGAATGCTTTTAATAATAATAATGGTCGCTGTTTTCAGCGGCAGCAGTCTAAAATATGGTCGCTGGGTTCCTAAGCTGGGTTTCTGCAGTGTGTTGGATAATGCTGTTAGAGAACTCAACACATAAAGTTCCTTTGATCTACTCAGTGTGTCCTGGCTGAGACAAATATTGAGTGCTGTCATTACTTATGATATAATTGTTTTCGCCTGATAAGTGTCAGACTTTACCTTAGCTGCTACCTTCACTGCTCGCATTTTTTTTCTTGCAGAAGAATCATCCGTCCATAAATAAAGGTGGGGTGGAATGGGGAAGAAAGGGAAAGGGGGCGGGGTAATATGACGAGGTGGGAACGTCTCTGCGCCTGCTTTGGAATATAGAAGTTTAGTGTCCGAAACTCGGTGCCCAGACGTTCACACATTTTTCGTAAGTGTGTAAGGTTTTATCTTGCAGCTCACGCCGAGTGCCTCTTCTGAAATGCCCCTTGTTAGGTCACTCGTTCCTGAATTGTTAGCTTTGTACAAAATGATTATTTCTCTAGAACAGCTGAAATAATTTCACACGGAAGGATCTAAAGGTCCCATATTTTGTTTATTTGCGAGGGGAAAGAGAACACGGAACAAATGAGGAAGAAAAATTGGTAAAGAATAGAGAGCATGTTGGCTAATAGCTTTGTTTTGGGAAACAGCACGAATGGCCGGGAATTGATTAGAAGCCCATGACGCAGGAGAATTTTGTTTATGGCGAGCATAGAAATTATCGCTGTGGTGGTCTCGTCCTAGGCTCTCGGTGTAGGCTGTGGGGCGAACTCTGGAAACCACAACTGAATGGCAAAATTGTAAGTTTAGATAGATCAAACTGAATAAAGTGTATTGGCCTCCTTTGACTAAAATGGACAGTATGTTTCCTTCTGCTTCTGCTACACAAAGTGATTCTATAAAGCATAAAGAAGCACCAGACCTGCACATGCATTTCAAAGTAATGTGAAATGTTTAGCAATGAGCTAGCCACTCTGCTGTGCTGTTGTTTGGCTGTTTGAGGTCGGTTAATTAAAACGTGGACTTGTTTGGATCGGGTTTCTGTACGTGTTTCGAAAGATAGTGAAGGACAGTTATTGAGAAAGTTGAATGTCACCAGTGTGGTCATGTACTTTTGGCATGTCATCGGGTGTCTCTCTTTGTTTTCAAAGTAAACAAATACATCTGTAGATGTTTCTCGCGGTCGGCAGGTAGCCCTCTCAGAGCCCGTGGCGAACCCCGAAGTAGCCACATCATGGCCTCTAGTAATGAAATAATAATGAGGAATGGCGCCGAAAGTGGTCGGTTTATTTGTCATTATTTTTCTCAACAGTAAAATAGCCCTTCATTATTGTACCTTTTTGGGGTGGTACAAACTAGTTCATTTTCGAAGGATCAGATTCTGTCTTATAAGCGAAATAAATTTGTATGGCCATCCACTTTGCCCCCCCCCCCTCTTTTTCCCCTTCTAAAACTCAGGTAGCAATGACGTGCCCTAATTTATCGGGCTGCTCCGAAGGATGCCGCGGTATCCTTATCGAAAGCATTAACTTTTTTCTTCTCTTTATCTTTCGTCGTTGCGTCAGGAGCATTAGCCGACGTTAGAAGAAAAACGGACCGGTCTTGCGTTGTTCCTTTTCCTAAGCCGAGAACTCGCTCTAGTGCTGCTGATCACAGTGCTCCACGTAAAAGGGTATCAGCTTTTTGTGTCAGTGACGAAGCTCCCACTGGTATGATAAACAATAAGTGAAAGAAAGATTCTGATCTCCAGGAATATGACCTCATAAGAAGGAAACGTAGAGATTTTGTAATGGTATCTTTTTAATGGAAAAAGGATTGAGGGGGTGGGGAATGGAAGGGAGGTGGGAGGCGCTGAGCGACTGGAGGTCGAGAGACCCAAATTGAAACCAGTGAGGTTGATGATTTATAGCTTCGGCTAACCCGCAAAGGCCAAGTTGCCGCTTCGGGGTATGGGGGCATCTGCTCCACAATCTCAGATGATATATGAATATATAGTTTGACGGGGGAGACCCCAGAGGTGGGGGATTCTGGAGCAGGGAGGAAAATCAGTTATAGTTGTGCGCGTAAAATATCTATGACTCTATCAATAAACAGAAAAAGTGCACTTTGAGAAATATATACAGAATAGAATACGTTAGAGACATATGAAAGGTGGTTGGAAAGTGAAATAAAAGTGGACAAGGGTAGCGGTTATTATATTTTTTTGCAAGGAAGAAGGGGATGGATTCAGAATGATTGGCGAAATTAGCACAGGTGTTTGAGTCAAGAAAAAAGGGGAGAAACCTTTTCATCTGAAGAGATTGCCCCCATCAAAATGACCTAGATGTGTCAGTATCCACCAAAAAAGAAACAAACAGACAAAAAAGCAACAAAAAAAACAACAACAAAACAAACCAAAACATAACCAAAAAAAAAAACCCGGGCTTTATTTACGCTGCGTAACGAGAGTACACGTTTGGTGTGGGCTTGGGTTGGCGAGCACAAGGAATAGGTCAGTATAATATAGAGATGTACAAATTGACGTCAATGTTTGTTTTCGAACGTTTAACAGTCACTGCCGTCAGGAGAGAAAATTCCGTTCAGTTGGCATAGAGGAACTTTGACAAAGGCAGAAACAAAAGTTTTGTATCGGACAGAAAGGTTGTTTGTGTTTTGTGCCTAGTCGCTTTGCTCAAATGCTTGTCTTGGATATATTTTTCAGTCACTGCATGCAGCAGATATTAGAGAGTGTAAACTATTGTCACCAACACGGAATCGTGCACAGGGACTTGAAGGTGAGTAGTATTTCCCTTCCGACGGTGTTTTTTTTTCTTAAGGAGGGTGGTTCCTGGAAAGCCGGTCTTGTACGAGAAATGCCAAGAGAAATACTGGAGAGGGTGATATGGGTTTCTTTTTTTTTAAAAGTGTCAGTTGACTAATCTTGGATATATCTTGAAACGGGACTCTTTGGGGAGTGGAACAAAGAGGGAGAAGAGAAAGACTAAGCGGTATGTAGGACGTGCATTGATGGTGTGCTTTTAGGAGGTACAGACGTTACAGGAAACAACACTACAGCAAACATTGTACGCGAACAGGAGAGAGGGAAAAAATCCAAATTTTTTCAACAATTAGTTGTTTTGGCTTATAAACCTATTCATGACCTTTCGCAGAGAATAGGTAAAGGATTTAAAGAAAAAAACCCGAATATATTAAACGCAACAAAATAGATGCACCTGTTTCAATTGCGTTGAACAAATTGTATGGATCATCAATTCTATGAATAAATTACGGAGGGAGCTAGTGAAAGAATGTATGAATGAATGCAAGTTACGGTATGTTTCGCCAGCTTGGTATGGAAATGTGGGAGCAAATTATAAGCGTCAAATCAAATGGGAAAATAGCAAAGAGGCTAGCAACGTACGGCTATGTTTCCAGTTGATTAGCTTGCTGCGCTGACTACCACGGCATATTATTCGCATGACAAAAAGTTGCGTTCAGTTTTGTTTTATTTTGATACGCACTCTGAAAATATTGATATTTGCAATTTGTCAGAATCAGAAGAGCCCAACATATTATTTCCTTTACTCTGACTGTTGTTGATACAGTCACCGGTTTTGAAAGAGTGGGTGATGCTGTAAATATGTACTGTTAAGGCCTGTCCCAGATAAAAGCTCTGCACTCAACGGAAAATGGGGTCGATTAAAGATGTCAATTCACCCCTTTGATTGCTTTGCAAGGGCATGAGAAGACTCGCAATCCCTGTTCCTTATTGTTGGGGAACAAAATCTGTGTAATGGAGAGATGGTTTTAAATATGTGGCTTGGATATTGACAGTGGAACGGTCTGGGAGTTGGAGCCTCGTGACTTAAAACAGAGGACCCCCCTCACCTCCCTTCCTTTCAACCCCACCCCGACAACGGCTCCAAACCACCGGAGGGATATCCCAAGTTGAAACAATTCAACCGTTTATGATTAAGTTCTCTCACCCTATGTTTCATTTATCCTGTTGATTGTGACCATACATTACACTTACGTGTAGGTCTGGCGGCTTCACGTGTATCCTTAGTTGTGCATGCGCTACAAAGGCAAAAGCTTGCATGGCACAGTAATGAGTAGACTTGGCCAACCTTCTTACAGTGAGAATTAACCTGTGTAGTCTGAATAGAGCCATGCATAGTTTAAAGGCAGATCTGAAGTGATGAGATGTATCGTGGAAAAAATGTCTATGGCCAGTTTTATATGTAGGAAATGCTGCGAAATGTATTATGTTGTTTTTAAAAAAGTACGGAGAAAGTAGTGTGCCCTGGAAAAGACGTTTTCAAATGGGATGTGTCGTGTTTTGCAATGTTTTGTTTTGTAAATATAGTAAGTTCAGTATGCTTGGAGACTCCAATAATAAATGACATAGCAGCCAGTAGAACGCATTAATAACAAATAGTGTCTCTTTGCTTCTGACTTATTAATTAATTAATAATTTTAAAAACTGATGTCCTGTATCATGCACATTACGCAATTAACGCTTTAAAAAAAGATTCTTTGACACAAAATATTTCCTGCTTCATTCTACAAATGACCTAACTTTTCTATCGTCATTTTTTAAAGTTTTAAAATGTACATATTTGATATACAAAGATATATCCAATTTTATATATAAATGCTAAATGAATGACATTGTCTTCCAACAGGATTTATCTTTACCAATCCGTAGTTACATAATGTGTATGCAGTTATTCAGTTGTAATTCTCCAAGGCAGTACCTCTTCATGTATCATTATTCCTATTGTAAGTGAAGTGAGCAGTCCTCCACCCTTGTAATTAAGTTCCCAGCTACCGTAAACAGTATTAATATAATAGGAAACTGCTCAGAGTATCCTGTCTTAGAACGTCATCCATAATTGGAGCTCCTGTGTGCTTCCGTCGCTGGCTTGTGTGTAGCTGGCTGTCTCCCGTGTTGTCAGCTTGTGTTTGCTGTTGTGATCAATCAAAACTACGTATATTTCAAGTGCACTCATGTATATTTTAAGTTTCAACTGCGAAGAGTGAGTGGTTGCTACAATTACCTTTTTTCTAATCCAGTGAGTGTGTGAGTGAGTCATAGGTTTCAATGCGCATTTCAGAAGAGACAATGATATTATAATTAATGTAGAAACATGTACGTGCAGTGCTTGCTGTAATGTATGGTTCTTTTTGGTTTGGTTGCTAACGTGTTTGCCGGAATGTGTGTGTGTGTGTGTGTGTGTGTGTGTGTGTGT